CTAAACACAACCAATACATTCTGACTAGTTTCAAATCAAGTAACGTTTAGTGTAAGTCTGTAGTGTTTTATAAAAAGTGCTTCCATCGTTTTTTAAACGACTTTTACAATTAGTTGTTTTTAAAATCACAATACTATCCACAAAGATTTTTTTCTTATCTGTGTGAGAGAAATTGGGTATGAGTGTGTTAGTTTTTTTCTTTAGTAAACTAAGATCACTCAAGTGGTTAATTAAAAGATCTTGTGTGACCATATATATATATATATATATATATATAAGTCCATATCACAGGTTAAGAATCCTTTATCTAAAGTTCTTGGGACTGGAAGTGCTTCAGTTTTCAGATTTCTTTTCAGAATTTGGAATACATGTTATTTAATTTGTATATAGCATCTATAAAATGGGGCAGCTTACCCTGAAAGTAGTTTTATATAAAATTTAATAAATTTTGTGTACATACAGATACAAATAATGACACTAGTCATGTAATGGTCACATGGATTTCTCATTGATGAAATTAAGATTTCACATAAAAAATGTTTTGTATCTTCTGTACGTGTATAAAAAAAACATGATCACTACTTACAAAATATATATATATAAATGCAGGATTTTTTGTAATTTTGAATATCTTTACTGAGCACAAATCACCTGGAAAGTAATCCATGAACAAAGGTGATGCTGTGACAATTGCTAACAAAAAAACTAGTGCCAACATAGGCTATGTAGTTGTGTTGGGGACTCCACAACCAGGGTAGATGAGGTCACTTATAACAGCTGCACATCACCTAGGAACCTTCCCAGTGCTTTTTGAAATCTGCTGCTCAAATACACAATTATATACACACACACACACACACATAATTAATATAAATAAATGTTTGTCAGCTGATTGATGTTACTTTCAGCATCCTGACCCCAGAGTTTTGATGACAGACCCATCCACCCACTCTTCAGGATGTATCAGCAATTGACTTCTTCTACTTTTTGATTTTTCTTTTTTATGCACTTATCATTGGTGTAAGCATTTTTCTGTATTATTTATGTTCACCTGTGCATTTGCACAGGTATGGCCATGCACTCATCTGTGTGGATGTGTATGTGCGCCTGTCTAGGGTATCATGATTATTTGTCCTTTTCTTGGTTATTTTATTTTTCCACTTTACACTCACACCTTGGATTTTTCTGTGTGTGTATACACACCCACACACATTTTTTCTGGGATGTGGTGTTATCATTATCATTATTTACACTATTTATATGTGGACTATTGTCCTCATCTTTGTCGTTATCACTTTTCACCCATTGCACCCTCATACCTTCATCAGGTGTATATGATTGATGATATACACATGATGAAGGCTGCAGGATACAATGGCCAAAAGATTGTGATAACAACAACAAAGATGAGGACACTAGTCCAAATTTAGATAGTGAAAATATAACACACACACACACACACATATATATATATATATATATATATATATATATATATATATATATATATATATATGATACACGCATTATCATTGTATTTCAGATGAAACTGATCTGATGAAGGTAACAAACTCTTGTACTTAGAATCAAAGTTTATTTGCTTAGTATAGAAATGAGTATGAAATTGCACCACACCTAAAAAAACAAACAAACAAACTTTTATGTTTTTAAGAAAAAAATATACAAAAATAGATTCAGTTTTTAATACATTAAATGTTTATGAATTTCTTAAATGCAGACAGAATAAGTATTAAATTAAAAAAATAAAGAAATAAAATACTGGTTTATGTTTGGCTAGAATTAGGTCTTTTATTTTAATTCTTTTTTTTTCTTATTGGTAAGTAGTCAATTTCACCATGTATTTAAGTTTTCAAAATCTGCATCCATGAAAAAGAGAAATTAAAAATCAATTGTGGGTTCTTAATAACTTCATTTTTGTTTACAAATTAAAACTGAATAAGTAGTATTTAGATATAAAAAAAATTATCTTTTTTTGTAAACTTAGATATTTCTTATGCTCATTTTTGTGAATATGCATAGGATTTTAAATTTCACTGATACCAAGTCATGTTTGATATTAGAGTATAAGTATAATTGCAGCAGTTATATACCAATTTTTTTCCCTCACAATGGAGACTAATAGACTGTTAATAGTAAGGGAGCACAATACCAGTTAAAATGACTGATAAAGTAGTTTTTAGTATTTAAAAAATGATTTCTATTCATTTTTTTTATATATCTATTTTTTTTTTTTTCACCCCCAAGCAAGACAAGAAAGATGTAAGGGGTTTTACTGAGAGTGAAAAAAATTTAGTTAAAAGACAGAGGACAATAAAAGAACAGTCTTCAAGGAGACAAAAGATAACACTTGACATTGCATTTAAATTTTTGAAGATCGTAGTTGACAGGAAATCAATAAGCTGGAAAGGATTTCCATAATTGAGAAGTGAGAGAAAAATATTTTTACTTGATTTATACATTTTTTAAAGGCTATTAAATCATTTTGTAAAAGTTATTAAATTTTTTTTTAAACAAAATTGATATTTTTATTTTTTTAGTCTGAAAGAAAATTTGATACATTAATTAAAAAAAAAAGTATTTTTAGAGTTTCTCTAAAACAGAACCCAACATTTGGGATAAGATGCACTCTTATCCCAAATGTTGGGTACTTGATCGTATTTATATCTAGCTGTTAATGTAAACCGTGATGCTAGACATAAGATTTACTCTGGATTTATTAAATATATACAGCAAAATTTTATTCACTCTAATCATTATTAGAGAGTGGTACACTCTCTTTCTCCTGGAATAACGTGCATTACAAATGAGGAAGAAAGGTATTGTCAGTGGTCAGGAATTAGTGCAAGTGTTACTGACAGAATAGGGCTATTATATGTATAAGAGATGAACATTTACTATAGAATTGCAATGCAAATAAGGAAGAAGGAGAATCTTGGTAGTCATGGAATTAATGCAAGTGTTACTGGCAGAATCAGTCTATTATATAAATTTGCTAAAAATGAGCATGCCATCATGAAAAAGGCTCCAAACTTGACAAAAACAAAGTTTTATTGTCAAAATTTTTTTATTAAGAGGAAAGACCAAAGTAATTTTTTATTAAATATTTTAATTCTTTTTAGAATTTTCAAAATTTTGGTTAAAAATCTTGTTTTTCTTGTGTCAGCAGTGTGCCAAAAATTAGTATTGGAAATTTAGCATCTTTTTCAAGGTAAAAAACACATTGTTTTGGAAATTCTTGCAAAAATCAAATAATTGTCATATTTTATTTTCAGGACTTAATGAATGAGATTATTTTTTAAATATTTTCTTTTAGAAAATGTTTAAATTTTTTTTTTTTTTTTTTTTACATCTGTTACCACCACTTAATTTTATGAAATTTTGAGAAATTAAAATTTCAGGGTCTTCATACTGATATTAATTAAAAGCAGGACTCCTTGGCGAATTTAAATCATCAATTTACTTTTGTCAAACAGAAATGCCATTTACTGAAAATCTGCTCTGAATTGTAAAATAAAAAAAAATGCAATAAAACTAAGACATTATGTAATTAGAAAAGCTTTTAATTGCTTTTATAAATAAAATATATTAAGGACACTATTGTTTTAAGAAAAACAATTTTTTGCAAGAATTGGTTTCATTTTTTTTTTTTTTTTTTAAATTTTAATTAGAAAAATATATTAGGTTTTAAATCTTTTAAAATTCTTTATTAATTTCTGATGATATTGTTATTAAGTGAAAATTATATTTACTAATCATAAAGGGAAAATCTTAATGCACATCATCAAATACCAATTTTTGAAAAATAATTTTGAATTTTTTCATTAGTGTAAAAACATCCTGATTTTTGTAAATACACAACATTATTGGAAAATAAAAGCAGTAACTATAATAAATTTAAAGTTAAAATTTCTAAAATTCAATAAAACATTAGATTACAGTAAATTTTCTTAAATATTTAAGATTACTGAGTACTTAAAAATTAAATAAAAATGCTGCTCACATCATTTTCTTCAGTTATGTTTTACAGATAAAGTTTCTATAGAACAACGTTAGATCTGTCATCACTTTGTGAAACACAAGAACGTGGCTACTGTTGGGTTAAAAAAAATGCATTTCTGCGATATTTTAAAGTAAATAATATTTGTTTCAAACCAGATTAATTATACTTTAAATAGGATAATATTCCTCAAAGTTTCAGAAAAGTATATTTTATTTTTTAAGATTTTTTTTTTAATAAAGAGCATTACATTTTGATGAAAGATGACTAAAAAATGACACTAATAAGCTGTTTTAGCAAAAAAAAAAAAAAAAAATTCCTTCCAGTCAATTTAAATTAGTTTTTGAAATACAGCAAAATATTTTGCTTATTGGAAATATTAAATTTAATCTATTAGCTTAAAATTAAAATAAAACTTCAAGAAAGATATTTCATTTTTCAAAATTCATTTTAAACCTTAGGTATCATGTTTTTTGTGGCAGTCCTTTAAACAGATAAATATTTATTATAGAAATGCTTTGCAAATGAGAAAGAATGAGATTGTCAGTGGTCAGGAATTAACACAATTTTTACTGAAGAGTATATGTGGAATTTTGTATTTAGAAATGTCTGGTGAACTTATCAACTTTCAAATTTAAATCAATAACTAAGGAATGAATTGGACCAAGTGAGACACACAAAAATAAAATCTAAACTGCTGAGCACTGATCTCTCCAAAACTTTCTATTTTATTAACGAGCTGCAATGGTTTCCCTGAATAGAAACCTTGTATTCTCATAAGCACTACACACTGTCTGTAGTCATATCAAGAGGGATATCACTAAGTTACTCTCTTCATGAGTTACTCTCTTCATGAGTTACTCTCTTCATGAGTTACTCACCAGGTGGCTCCTTGAGAGATATTAAAACCCATTATTGGAATGAAGTGATTAAGTCATTTTCAAATATTGAAAGCACCATTTGTGGGATCAATAATGGTAAAATGATTAAAAGAATCAATAAGCAGCTGCTTGTCTTCAGAACAGCAGCAGCAGGTGTTATCAGAAAGAGACGATTAAATGTTCACACTGTATTAGTCACTTTCTTACTATCACAGCAAATTTATTCTCTGCAGAAGGTGACTCAACTCTACTTCTTTTATAAGTTTTTATTAAAAAGTTGTGTTGGTTTTACAAAGGCAGTGTTAGATTACAATATCTTTAAGAGCTTTGTTCTAGTGTCATAGCTTAGTGTCAAGTGTATTGAACTTTGTCTCAAAGATTGCAGTTCAATATCCTAGTGATTATATTTATACTTGTAAAACACCTGTGAAATTTAAGTATTACACCATTGATTCCCAAGATGGGTCAAAATTTGAATATTGTAGGGGTCAATTCTGTTTGGATTTCTGGGATGAGGAGTTATCATTATTTACATTTGGACTAATGTCCTCATCTTATGAGTTAAATAGCATGGTTGCCAGTCATGGAGAAGGAAAACTGAAAATTCAAAACCCCCAATGTCTTGTCAGTATGCTCAGTAGTGTACCCCCCCCACCCCAAATTTGGAATAGAACCTTTAAGCCAATTCGATTGTACACTGTCACGTTCGAGTTGAGTTATTGAATATCAAATATAAATCTTCATGAGACAAAAATCACAATGAATTAAGAAGTAGACATAGGTGCAGTTTACATTTGTGTCGAAGAGGAAGTTTTCAGCATGAATTTTAACCCCTACAGAAAAGATTTACCTGTGTATAGGGAAACTGGTCACCAAAAATACATGATATAGTGTGACCCTATATTTTTTGTTTAAAAAAAACTGATTGAAAAACTCACACTGTATTTGCACATGTATGATAAGAAAGTCGACAATAATGATTGACATTGCATTTAAATTTTTGAAGGTCAAACTTGACTGGAAAGCAAAAAGCTGGAAAAGAGTTTCACAAACGACATGAAGAAAATGTTAGCATAAAACTTAGATACATTTCAACTCTGACAGCAGAGTCTCATCAATTCAATCTAGTACTGCAGTTAAATTTATAAAGTCTAGGTGCAATGGAAGAAAATCCATCAAAACAATTGCCATGAAAATATTTAAAGAAAAGGCACAGGGAAGCTGTGTTACGGTGATGGGAAAGTGACTGAAGCCAAGACATTGCAGATTCTTCTTTGGATTTTATCAAGAATCTCTAAATATAGAGCAGAAGCACTAAAACAGATGTGGTAGCAATAGGCGAATGAATAGTAAACATATAAATCTGTAAGACAGACTCTGGAGAGAAAAATTGTCAAACATGACATAGTGAACCAATTTGCAACATTACATTCAAACTAATATCCTTATGATTGTTGTTATTATCACAATGTTTTGAGTATTATACCCTCTGCCCTCCTTTGTAGATCTGTTGATCCAGATCAAGGAATTTCAAATTTTTCATTTAATCTACAAGGTTAGATTGTTCTCATTCAACTGTCCATGCCTACGGATATCTCATCTTGTTCTTTTAAGTACTACTCTGTTATTGCTGGCCCTGTTTCCACTGGGTTTATGTCTGTACTAACCAACTATGTACAAATACTCTTTGGAAAGGTATGAATTCACCTCTTCTCCCCCAACTATGGGTTAATTAGTAAGACCTGTATCAGTAAATCATTATCATATAAAAAAAAAATTGCTTTATAACCTAAAAATATTTTCTGGCTTTAAATAACTTACAAAAGGTTGATAAGCCATAAAACATAAATCTGTTAATCAATTGATAATGTACTAACCAACCTAGGGATTGAACTGACAATTGCTAAATTCACAATTATTCCTTGCTGATGCAGGTATATAAATGTTGCTATTTCTCTTGAGTTTCTTTTTATTATATAAAATACGTAAGTATTGGACTTTTTAAAACATTAATTTCACTATTGTAAGTGTCATGAAAATTTTTTAAGCAAACACCTAAAGAAGGCCAGAAGACAGACTGGTCAAAACATGATAACAACAGCAGAGATGAGGACATTAGTCTGCAAGTAAAAACTCCTTATCTCAGAAATTCAAAGAGAATAACAACAAAGATGGTGCAAAATTCAGTTTTATGTCATATAAAACATTCCTTCTGATATTTAAAATAAGTTTTTTATTTTATGATTTATTCTGTCCACGATTCTAAAATATACAAATCAGAAACTGAGCCAAATTCTGTTTCAGTAAAATATCTCATGGCATCTTTGTTGTACATTTTTGAAAATTGCTATATTGAATTCCAAACCTTACAAAAATATTTTATAAATCAAATGTCAAATTACAAAAGGAAAAAGCAATGTCGACACAGGAGTACAATGCTGTGCCCGTATTTAAAACATTTGCTACTATAATAGGCATTTTCCCCCTCTTGAGAGTAAAAGCAGTCAAATGTAACTGTCTGTGGTAGGAAGAAAGAATCTTGCTGACTTTTAAAACTATTTTGAAATACTTAACACGCTGTTTCTGAAATAATAATTAAACAGGCCTCACCGCCAACACACAAGAAAAAGAATAGACTTGTATATGTAAAATTATCTTGTGTTTGATTTTGTTGCCAAGCAACTAAATTCTTTTTTCTTTTTGGGGTGTGTGTGTGTGTGTGTGTGTGTGTTTGTTCTAAAATGAAAATTTTGTTTTCACTTCATCAGCACCAGTAAAAAAATTTTAACTACTTTTTTTTTTTTTTTTAATTCTAAGATGGTGACCTAATTAGACTATCAAGGCTCCTGCAAGAAATAAAAACTTCCAGTGAATATAAACAGACAGTTCCTGCTTTTCTTTGCCTCCCCCTCAACGGGAAATTATTGGGTGAGCTAGTCCAGTTGTCGATTACTACTGAATTTGATCCTCACTGGGTGCTCCATACTAGCAGCCTTGGGCCAAATTAATCTGACTAAAATAATATTAGAGTATCAACTCCTAGCATAATGGTTAGTGAGCTGGTCTCATGGATTACTGAGCCATGAGTTTGATCTTCACTATGTGCCTCATAGTTTCTCTCCTGAATCTATCTTACATATTTACCATTCTTCCATGTCTTGAATATTGTTGCCATTTATGATCTACTGCTCCTGGTGTATATTTAGAGATTCTTGATAAAATCCAAAGAAGAATCTGCAATGTTATTGGTCTTGACCTGGCATCTCAGTTTCAGTCACTTTCCCACTACTGTAATGTAGCTTCCCTGTGCCTTTTCTATGAATATTTTCAATTTTCATGGAAATTGTTTGGATGAACTATTTGCTATGGTATCTAGACTTTATTAATTTAAGTGCAGTACTAGATTGACAGCAAGGTCTTATAAATTCAGAGTTGAATTAGCTAGATGTAACCATTAGTTCTATGCTAACAGTTTCTTCTCTCACTTGTGGAACTAGCTTCTTGATTTCCAGTCAACTTTGATCTTCAAAAATTTAAATGCAATATATTAGTTGTTAGCCTTTGTCTTCTTAATTTCTCTTTTATTGTTCTCCCTCCTTGTTTTTCTTTTTCTCATCTTTTTCACACTCAGTAACCCTTTGTGACTTAGTGGCTTTATTGTCTTGTTTGGGATGAAATGATTAAAAAAATAAAAAATAAAAAAAATAATATATAAATAAAAAATATGCCCATATGCACAATATTGATATCAGTTTCTGTGCAATGACCTTTTTAGATTTAATCTTGAATGTAGAAGAAAAATCTCCTTTGTTTTATCCATCTGCATTTAGAAGCAGCCCTTTGTAAATTAAGCCAAATGTAAGAATCTTGAAATGTAAATCTCATCTGGTCGAGGCAGAAAGGAAGACATTGTCTTCTTGTCGGACAATGAGCTGCTTTGTTTCTGTTGTATTTTCCACAAATTGGTCATTGCCGCTTGCTTCCACTCAACTTGAGCAAGCATCAACTGAATGGGATTTTCTATTTTAGTTGGAAGATTACAAAAAAAGGAAATCATTTCCTCATGACTGATGCTTGTTTCAGACACAGATTTTTTTTTTAATTCTTTGGTTTCCCAAAGACAGTCCAACAGGAAACAGCAGCATTCTTGACTTTGGTAACAAATATTTTTGGATTTGTTCCCTTATTGCAATTGAAACTGCAACTGATTTGTTTTAGCTGAAGAAGTTCATTCATAATAAACAACTTACTTTGTTACCACTCTCTCTCTTTATTTTCTCCTCCAAATTCTTTGTTACTCTCTCTCTCTCTCTCTCTCTCTCTCTCTCTATATATATATATATATATATATATATATATATATATATATATATATATATATATATATATCTTTACATCCTATTTGTAATTATTTGTTACTCTCCCTCTTTCCTCCCCCAAAATCTTAGTTACTCTCTTTCACTCTTCGTTACTCTCTCACTTTCTCCTTACTCCCCCAAACTCTGTTATTCTCTCTCTACTTTCCCAAACTCTGTTATTCTCTTTCTCTCTATTCCCCCAAACTCTTCTTTACTCTCTCAAGTTCTTAATTACTCTCTTTCTCCTTGAACTCTTCTTTACACTCTCTCTGTTCTTACTCACCTAAATGCTTTGTTAGCCTCTCTTTCCCTTTACTCTCTCAAATACTTTGTTACTCTCTCTTTACTCACCCAAACTCTTTGTTACTCTCTCTCTCTCTCTCTTTTTTTCCATACTTTCCCAAAGTCTTTGTTAATCTCTCTCTTTTTTCCATACTCTCCCATCTCTTTTTCTCTCGACTCCTCCAAATGCTTTGTTAATCTCTCTCTCTCAAGATGTTAGAAAGATAATGGAGCAAATTTATCATTTTTTTCTCCATAATTTGAATTCAAAGTTGTCTTACTCCTCGATTGGTTACTAATCAAGGCTCAAGAAGACACAGAGTTGAGGTATCAAGACTGGTTTAATGTGATACCTGCTGATTAGTTATGACTGCTTCCTACAATAAGTGATCAACTCAAAAGATCAGTGCAAATGGTACAGACATTTCTAAAAATATCAAAAATAAAATGACTATATTTATTAGGTCATTTCCCAACACCATTTTAATGTTTCCTTCAGTATTTACTAGTCTTTATTATTCAAAATATTCACTAATACACAATCTGTCTTGCACATAATAGTAATATACAGTGCATGGCAAAAGTAATGTCCTTTTTTTTCTTTCTTTTCTTTTTTTTCTTTTTCTTTTTTTTTCTTTTTTTTGCTTTTTCTTTTTTTTCTTTTTCTTTTTTTCTTTTTCTTTTTTTTCTTTTTTTTCTTTTTGTTTTTTTTTTTTTTTTTTTTTTTTTCTTTTTTTTTTTTTTCTTTTTTTTTTTTCTTTTTTTTTTTTTTTTTTCTTTTTTTTTTTTTTTTTTTTTTTTTTTTTTTTTTTTTTTTTTTTTTTCTTTTCTTTTTTTTTTTTTTTTTTTTCTTTTTTTTTTTTTTTTTTTTTTTTTTTTTTTTTTTTTTTTTTCTTTTTTTTTTTTTTTTTTTTTTTTTTTTTTTTTTCTTTTTTTTTTTTTTTTTTTCTTTTTTTTTTAACTGTTATTGAAAAAAAGAAAAATTACAGTAGTTTAAGAAAATTTATAAGTATTCTCACATCAAAACAACAGAATTTCTTATGATAAACAAAATGCTCCCCTTCATGTTGAATACTATGTGGAACCTTCTAAGCAATACTTCTACAAACCATTTGACACATTTCTATATTAATTTAAAAATATTTATCAAAAATTGCTTTTGCTTACTTTCTGTACACCCAACAACAAAATGTCTGATGGTGTTAGGTCAGGTGATCATGGTGGCCTTTCAATTGCTCTACATCGTCATATCCACCTCAGTTCGAAATTAATATGTAACTATTTCTGAATGCATAAGCCATCTTAAAATACAGTAATTTATTTTTGTTCAATAAAAGTTAATAAATAAAATAGGGTGTTAATTTTGCTGCATTCTCTTGTGTGAATATAATATTTGCATTGCACATAAATATGCTATTTGCATATTTATATACAAAGTGAATACTTGTAAATGAATATTTATATATATTTATTTTAAGATATATATTTAATAAAAATATAAAACATATTAGATATTCCAATCTGCCCTAGTTTACAGTGCAAACATGTGTCAAAATAGTGAAATCTCTTTCCATTTCAACTGCTGATATCTCATTTATTTTTTAGGTTATTTTGATAAAATTAGCAGGTAAACAAACTTAAGTCTTTTCTTTCTAAAAATATAATTCTTTTTCATATAAGAGGGTTTTTTTTTGTTTTTTCTTTTCTACATCTCTTTAAATTATGTCAGTGTTTCAAATGCAAGCACTATTTTTTTTCTGTGTTTTCAAAGTTGAAAATGTTATAGTGGTGTTTTTCAGTTTCAAATGATGGCTGGGTATGATGTGTTCCAGAAACATTAGCCATATCAGAGGCTTATAAGGAAATTCAGTTAGCAGATCAGCATTAGAAGAGCAAATGCAGGAAAACCATTGACAATGTCCAGAAAGTCTTTTCTGTCCATTTAAAACTGAAGAAGTTTAAATCATTATTATAAAGTAATTGTTTTTCTTTTGTTAGACAAATCTCAGACAAGTTATCAAGACTTGTTAGACAAGTTTTATTGTCATTATTTTCCTGTTTTTAATGAGTTGGAAATTAATTGATTTCACTAATTTTTGAAAAATAAGTTACATATATTACAAAGGATATTGATATTAATTGAAAAAAACTATTTCATTGAATTCCTCATTCCAAAATTAATAAAATTTCAAAATGTCATGCATGTACCTCCAATAAATATGCTTTTATGACACGTTCAGAGTATGGTATACTTTTGACTTTTTTGTTGCCTTACTGCCAAACTGTACTTTTGGTTGTATTTCTGTGATGTAAATTTTTTTTTATTTATTTAGGTACTACTGAAAAGAAGGATTTAGCTTCATCTCTACTGTACTATGAAGTATAGGAAGAAGTTGATTAATTGTTGAAATGAAACCGATATGATTCATCAAATTTGCCCTCACCCCATTATCTATCTTACACATTTATAAATCTACCATTTGTCCATGCATCTGGTTTAGTGCTTTGGTTATGTATTTAGAGATTCTTCATAAAATCCAATCATCTGTGATATTATAGGTCCTAACCTGACATCTTGGTTTCAGTCACTTTCTCACCACTCTAACATAGCATCCCTGTTCCTTTTCTTTTTGGTACCTCGACTGTACAAATTTAAGTGCGGTACTAGTTTAGCAGCTAGGTCTCATTATTTTACAGTTGAAATGACTAGATGTAACCATGAGTTCTATGCTAACAGTCTCTTCTTGTGTCTTGCTTTCCAGTCCAGTTTGATCTTCAAAAATTTAAATCAATCATTATCTTCTGTCTTAATTTTTGTTCTTTAAAATAGTGAGACCAAGCTGCCATTCTAGTATTATGCTTAATTTTGTAAAGTCTAGGTACCGAAGCTGACAGCTCATAGAACAATTACCATGAAAATATTTCTAGAAAAGGCAGTTAGAAGCTACATGATGTTACATCCGAAGCCAAGATGTCAGGACTAATAACATTGCAGAATATTCTTTGGATTTCATAAAGAATCTCAGCATAGCAAATCAGATGTGGCAGCAATATTCAGTGCATGGACAAATGCTAGACTTATAAATATGCAAGATAGATTTTGGGGAGAACAAAATGTCTAGCTTAAGCAACCAACTTTCCTTGCAGTAGACTGAGCAAATGATTCAATATAATCGTTCCACTTTATGTCAGCAGGACACGTTAGCCTGAGAACTTACAAAGGTGTGTCACTCACCTTATGGTTAGCAAAATACTGAAAGTTATGTCAGCTTAAATTTACCTCTTGTGGATGCCTAAGTTTTTATTCACCCCTGCTGAAATTTTATTGACCTCCAGAAGAATTTTAAGAAGCACTGGTCTTATACAATGTTAGGTACCTCCAAAAATTTGCTTAAAACACACATAGCAGGATGAAAAAGGCCTGAAACTTGATAAAAACAAAATTTTATTATAAAAATGCTTGTTATTATTAAGAGGAAAGACCAAAGCATTGTTTGATTATTTTATTAAATTTTTTAATCCTTCCTGGCACATTTTGAAATTTTGAAAAAAAAATCTTGTTTTTCTTGCATCAGCACAAATAAATAAACAGCTACTGTCAGGTTAGAAAATGCATTTCTGTGATCCAAAGATTAGTATGGGAAAATTAGCATCTTTTTCAAGGCAAAAAAACACATTGTTTTGGAAATTCTTGCAAAAATCAAATAATTGTCATATTTTAATGAAATTTTCTGGACTTATTCATAAATGAATTAAATTATTTTTTCATTTCTTTTTTTAGAAAATCTTGGTAAAAATATTTTTTTAAATTAAAATTCCACCATCTTCATATTTATATTAGTTAAAAGCAGGACTCCTTGGAAAATTTAAATCATCTTGTTTTTGGCAAACAGAAACACTATTTACTGAAAATCTGTTCAGAATCATGAAATAAAAATGTAATAAAACTATGACATTCTTTAATTAGTAACACTTTTAATTGCTTTTATAAATAAGATATATTAATGACATTGTCTTTAGAAAAAAAATTTTATGAATAATGAATTCTTACAAGAATTGTTTTCATTATTTTCATTTTAACTAGAGTAATTTATTAAGTTTTAAATCTCTTACAATTTTGTATTAATTTCACTCTTTTAGATGATATTAAGTGAAATCTATATTTACCAATCATAAATGGAAAAGCTTAATACAAATCATCAAACACCAGTATTTTTAAAATAATTGTGAATTTTTGTGTGTATAAATGTGTTGTTTTTTATATACAGGCAACTAAACGCTGCATTATCAAAAAGAGCAATAACTATAGTAAATTTACAGCCAAAAAATATTTAAAATTCAATGAAACTTTAGATTACAGGGAATATTTTCTTAAACTTTTAAGATTACTAAGTACTTAAAAATGATATATAAAAGGCACTTATGTTAATCCAAATACATTTTGGATGCCTAAAGTTCCCATAGATAAATATCAATGTCCTCAAGCTGTCAAAGTTTAAATAAACAGCTACAGTCAGGTTAGAAAATGCATTTCTGTGATATTTTAAACTTAAAGTAAATAATATTTCTTTCAGATTGGATTAATTATACTTTAAATCCGGTAATATTCCTCAAATGAAGTTTCAGAAAAGTACATTTTATTCTTGGAAGATTTTTTAATAAAGAGAATTACATTGTGATGAAAGATTACTTAAAAAAGGGTGCTAATCAGCTACTTTAGCAAAAAAATAAAATAAACTCCTTCCAGTCAATTTAAATTAGTTTTGAAATAGAGCAAAGTATTTTGCTTGTTGGAAATATTAAATTCAATCTATTAGCTTGAAATTAAAACTAAAATAAAAGCTTCAAGAAAGATTTTTTATTTTCATTTTTCAAAACTCATTTTAAACCTTAGGTATTGTGTTTTTTGTGATAGTACCTATACAATATTATTTGTCCGAGTAGAAGATAAAAAAGTGTTTTTTGCCTTGTGTAATGACTTTTTCAAACTATACAAGGTTATTCTGAGAAAATTAGAAGTCCTACCAGGATTCATTAATGGCTGCCACAATCTTGACAGCATAAGATAAAAGATGAAACAGTGTTGATAGCAGATATAGAATGAAAACTACAAGAACTCTTGAAGGAAAGCAAGAAGAAAGGACTAAACATCAAATTGCAAGAAGATTGAAGCAAAAGGAACCACCTAACATGCAAATTACAGATTAGAGATACCAAAAT